TCACCTGGGGGAACTGCGATCCCCCGCGATCCCCCCTGAAATGACCTCTGCTTAAGAAACTTACCTCATTTCATTCAGAGATTTCCCATAGCAAATACCCTTTTAACTAGTAACCTTGACTATCAACAGAGAATTTATATTTAAAACAAAGGGGTTTCTTGGTGACATAATGGAATGAAAATAAAGTAACTCAAAAACACTATGTTCTTCACAAAGTTTGAACTGTCAAAGCCAGACTTCACCAAAGTAGCATGTAGCATCACAGGATGCAGTCCCAGCTATTGTCTGATACACATTTCCGTGGAGAACTGTACTATGTTAACTGTGAGTCGTCCTCTGTCTGCAGCATCCTAGCAGTGATCATAATGGTACATTTTTCAGCTGCAGCTGCTTAATCTGTGTTGCAACTGTAGCTTCCCAATTTCGCTCTCACTGTAGTGTTTTCCATATAAATGCATCTCAGGGGAAAGTCTCAAAATGCATCAGAGCCCATGGCATAGAATCAAATGTGGGATTTGGCCTTCTGGATTAAGCCACTGTCCAGATTTGGCCTGAAAGGAAAAGAGGTAGTTATAGAAGCAAAGACACTGCCAGAGCACAGCCTACCAAGATGACCTCCAGTTCATTTCTGACTGATTTCAGGAGCAACGTTTGGGCAGATTATACCCATAGTAGTTGCTATATACTCTGAAGTCCTAGAATCATCTATTTAGTTTGCACTCTGATTACCTTGTGCTCAATGCTTGAAGTGGTTCTGTATTTGGGGCCTTCTAGGATCCGTACCAAGAATATATGGGTGATTTCTGTAGCATAAAATGAGTCCTTACCCTCACATATCTAAACAAATGCTAAAAGCAAAAATAACTCTGTCTACGTCCCAGTTGGGTATCCCGCCATTCACTCTCATCATGTTTGCTGCAGTTTGCATCCATCCACTTGAATAATAGTTTGCCAGCTTGTGATATCTTAATTGTTTTGCTATGATCTACATGCTTCCCTCGTAGTTAATTAGTGCATGCATTTCTGTGGCCTTCCACCCCCTTTCTGCAATATTATTTAAATAGATTACTTTCTTTTATCTCAGGTTTCATGGGATCATTTCTCGTGAGCAAGCAGATGAATTACTTGGAGGTGTAGAAGGAGCATATATTCTCAGAGAAAGCCAGCGACAGCCTGGATGCTATACCTTAGCTCTCCGGTAAGCTTTTCAGGTTATGTTTTTAAATGTTAAGAATTAGGAACCTCAAGGAGGATGCCTTTTGCTTAAAATAACTGCAAACAACTTAGTATTTTAAAAATACCTGTAGAGGGCAGAGCTCAAATGTTCCTACCCTCAGTTGCATGTGATGGGGGTTGGGTTTGAGGCTAGGGTTGCCAGCTCCAGATTGGGAAATACCTGGAGATTTGGGGGTGGAGCCTGAGGAGGGTGGAGTTTGGGGAGGTGAGGAACCTCAGCAGGGTATAATGTCAGAGAGTCCGCCTTCCAAAGCAGCTGTTTTCTCCAGGGGAACTGATCTTGATTGTCTGGAGATAAATTGCAATACCAGGGGATCTCCAGGTGCTACCTGGAGATTGGCAAACCTTTTTGGGGTAATTTTTCAGTAAGCCTTGGTAAGATGGTTAGAGAATGTGCCCAATTTACCAGGGGTGGTGACATTCTCTCCCTTTTGTTTTCTGTTCATGAAACCATTGCCCTTACTCTGTTTCCTTCCCTTATTCTGATTTGGTTTCATGACAGTGCAACATAATTAGATTTCACCATGTTGACCTCTCAAAGCCAGTTTTAGAGTGAACGTAGAAAGCATAACTAGAAGTCTAACATGAATTGATGACAGTGCCATGTAACCAATAAGAGTTAGCTGCGTGATGACATCAGGTGCAAAATAGAGGACAGTGCTTCCTATTCTTACACTGGTGGCATGTGGTTTAAAAGGGTGTGTAACAGACCCCCACTATCAGGCAGGTTTTCCTACAAAAAGCTTTGTTCCCTGCTGCAACTGAGCAGCCCCAAGTAGCATGTTAATATTTGTGTTTTTGATTGTCTGTTTGTCCCACCCTGTCACAGGGAATATAATTTGGCTTTTTGCCCAGCCTAGGAACTTGATGGAGAAAACAGGAGCCCTCGTTTTGCCCTTTGGAATGGCACTTGAGAAAGAATAACAGTCAAACAGAAATCTTAAGTTTATTTAACAGGCAGGGGATGAATAGGTGTAGTCAGGGGCTGGGAAAGCTGAGGTTAAACCTGTTGGTATTTCAAGGTACATTTCTTTTAGCACACAAAATAGTGATCTTGAAGCTTGTTTGCATATATTCTAGGCTCTTAACAGTGGGAGATGTTTTACTTAGTATTTTAGTTACAGCAAAGATGTTTCTTCAGAGAGTTTCCTATGATAGTGCAGTTTTCCTAGAGTGGGCCTCTTTCTTTGAGCACCCAACTCGCTCCTTTCTTGAAACTACAGTTTATTTCTGAGTTGTCTAAAACTGTTCTCCTTTCACATCAGACCCGGGGTCCTCCTCAGAGCCAGACCCCTAGAGAAACTGAGCAGGAATTAATCTTCTCCACTGAAGATATAACCCTGTTCCTTTTGGCTTGAAAGGCAGAGAAACTGAGCAGGAATTAATCTTCTTCTCCACTGAAGATATAACCCTTTTGGCTTGAAAGGGAGTTTCAGCACAAAGATATAACCCTGTTCCTTTTGGCTTGAAAGGGAGTTTCAGCACACTATCCAGTCACTCTTGCCAAGTCATCATCCCAGTTCTGGTATCTTTGTAAAGCATACTTAAGTTTAGGCTGACATTTAGTCTCTGAATTCTGTTAAGGAATTCTTCCTCAGGATAGAAATACTACAGTTAAGGCAAAGGAGTCTTTCTCCTTCACTCTAAGGTGAACCTGTCTGACTTTTCCTGTCAGACTCACTGACTCCAAACTCTATCAGAAACCAATTGGCTGCCTTCAGAATGGTTCCAACTGACAGAACCTCAGGAATGGAATGATCCAATTCAGCACTGGGCTGATTGTATAGTTTTTCTCAGCTGGTGACTGCCAATCAGAGATAAGGAGTAACCTGGCACTCAAGCTCTCAATTCCAGTGGAGTGTTAACCATTCACCTCCCATATCTCTGTTTTTGCTGCACTAGGAACCTGGTTTTTAAGTGCAGTCTGTCACAGGAGTTGTAGGAACAATGCCAAGCAGCACTGGAGAACATAGTTGTAACCTCCTATGAACAAATGATGAAGAAGGACAAAAACATTAAGCAAGGGTTTTATATAGAATCTCAAGTTCCTCTTTCAAGTCAAAAAATCTGTAGAGAACTTCCAACTGACCACATCAAAGCAGTCATAAATGAGATCTACAAGGCCTCATTTAAGCAACCATTTTTAAAGTACCTTCACAAGACCTATTTTGACTGAGTGCAGCCTTTGCCACCCTATTCTGCTGTCCTTCCTCCTCTGCCTTCATAGCTGATAATGAAAAGAACCTTTCTTTATCATATGCATACTATGAACAGTTGTGGTTTGAAAGTTAAGACACTAATTCAACAACTCCATTGTGTTTCAATACAGATTTGGCAATCAGACCTTAAACTACAGGCTCTTTTATGATGGGAAGCACTTTGTAGGAGAGAAGAGGTTTGAATCAATCCATGACTTGGTAACTGATGGCTTGATAACTCTGTATATAGAAACAAAGGCCTCTGAGTACATTTCCAAAATGACAACAAACCCTATCTATGAACACATTGGATATGCCACTTTGCTCAGAGAAAAAGTATCCCGTAGGCTAAGTAAAGCAAAAACAGAATCAAGAAAAGCGAGTGTAACAACGTGTGAAGAAAATGCACCTGTTGAAAAGGTAAGAGGTCTAATTTTATGGACGAGAACAGCACATATTTTTATATTTATAGGTCTTTTTTAAAAAAAGTGCAAATTCAGTTATTTAAAAATATTTTATTTTCAGCTTCCATTCAATGCTGCTGTTTGTAAGCAGGCACTGGAAATGCTGGCGGCAAGTTCAATCCACAATGGGTACCAGTGAAGTACCTGGATTTAAATGATGCTGTTCTATTGCAGCCACTGGAAACAGACTTCTCCTGCAAGAGCTTTCCATTCATTTCTCTGGAAGGGATTTGACCTGTACGTAGAAAGGAATATGCATTTAGGTACGATTCCAAGAAATGAATGGGCATCCTGCTTGCACAGGAGCCTCATGTAGCCAAATCTAAGCACATGGAGGTCTTTAAATCCAGATCAGGATGTGGGATTCTTGCTTTCAATATCCACCTGAAGCCTTGATCTCGGGTCCCTGATGGTAGAAGTAATGCTGATTTAGAGTTCACCAACTCTCAAGTTTGTGAGCCTTTAATGCAAAATGAGAAATCTCCCTTTTACTATTTTGCCTTTGGTGAATGGGTCTGGACTTGGCTTTTCTGTCTCTCCATCTTGCTTTTCGCAGTTATAGTTGGCGTAATAGCAACATAAATTGAGTGAACAAGAAGTGGCTGTCATAATGCAATTGGCTGACACTCAGCTAAAATCAGCTGGAAATGCAAGACAAATTACACCATAAGTAACAGATAAGCACTCTTATAAGAGTTTATATGAGTGTTTTCTGGTACAATAGATTAAAAAACATGTCAAAACCACCTTCTGAAGTAAGTGCTTTTGAAGGTTATTTAATACATAATTCACAAAGCGCTTTGCATCACTATAAAAGATTATCTTGTTGACCCGTCGCTGAAAAGAATTTCCCCCTGCCGCCTACTAGAAATTATGATTTGTAGATTTTGTTAATGATTCTGTTTCATGTCCAATTGCATGGACGTTTCTAGAGTTACTGCTTTCTGGAAAGATGACAAGCATTGTCTCAAGTTGGTCTGCCTTTGAAATTTCTAACTAGTACAAACTAAACAAGGGAAACCTAAGTGGAGTGAGGCAGATGAGAAACCTGTAGTTAATAAAATCACTGGGAGCAACATTTCTGGCCTATAGAATTAGTAAAAGAAATTGAGTGTGACTAATTACCTATTAATGTTTTTGGAAAGCACACCCCCCAGTTAAGAGAAGCAGGCTACAAGACTGTGATTAATCACTGATGTATATCAACCTAATTTGAAACTTTCAAGCTTGGGTGCCCGAACTCGGGCTATCTTGAAAAAAAAACATTCAAGCTGTTACTCCCTGAAAAATCCATTCACTGTAATGTTAAGTCCTGATCCATGGATTCTTGTGCATGCTGCTTCACACAAGAATCATTCCAACTGACAGGTTGCATGGGTGTCACCGTGAATCTGTAGGGGCAGAAGGGAAACGTGATGGCCTGGTTTCGCCTGCAGCCATCCCAAGAGGTCACTCAGTCTCAAGAAATGTCTTGCACAAACTTGATCAGCGAGGCTCACTCTGTGCATACTGATGGATGCTGAATGGTGGGAGGGGGGTTACCATGCAGAGTGTACACAACATTTATGTTGGGTTCTGTTCCCACACACAGGGTTGGATCCAGCCAGCTTTTCAGCTGGTGAAAGAGGTATGAGGTAACCTCGTGACCACCCAGAAACTCTGTGCTAAGAATTGTGGGACTTTCATGTACAGAAGCCATGTGGGATAAGGGAGGGGAATTGAGTGAGATTGTGTGAAAAGACTGGCTGCTGGACGTGTGCTTTTAAAATGAATAGAAGGCACATACAATAATATGGTATTAAACCTAATTCTAGCAGAAAGAATGACAATTATATGTAAAAGGCACGAGTCCCTGAAGTACTGGATGGAGCAGAAGAATATGAGACATGGTAAAATTATGCAATGCATGAAAGCAGGCAGGCCCATGTGCTGGCTATCTCTATAGTCAGCCCCTCTCCTCAGCAGAATATTAAGATATATTACCCAGTGTCTAGGAAGAGTTCATGCGTAACACACAACATGAAGTTGGCATAGTCTTTGTTTTGGCCAGCACCCCATAACGTACCCATCAAGTAGCATGAGAAATAATTTATCCAGATAAACATTTGAGATTACTGCTATCAGTGTCATTTGCACATTTCGCTGAAGAAAAACTGCTCAGACTTGCATTCCCATCTTTAACAACAGTTCGTTTTGCTTTATGAGAAGGTTGGTCAGTGGTACTAGGCAAGTGAATTTTTAAAGAGATGCCTGGGACTTTCGCTCACACCACTCTTAATTATAATCACTAATAAATTAGATAAGATTATTTTAAAAACACTTCTGCAAAATGATGTTCATGAGTTAGTTTTCCTTGTTTGCAACAAAGGAAAAGAAGAAAGTCAGCCAGAGGAAATCAGGTCTTGTTTTTATACCTCTAAAAATGTTTTTTTTTATTATTTCCACAAATATTCTAGAGAAAATTGCTTAAGGAAATTGTGGATTGTGGTTAGTTGTCAAATATATTTTCTGATTAGGGTAGTTTGCATGGCATTTTAAGTTCAAACATAAATGCTGATGTTTTGGCTACAGACCAAAACATTGTCCCTTGGCAAAATTACAGATAAAGGTTACAATTCAACCAAAGTTAAACACTTCTGCTTTCAAATTATTTCAATAATATGAGAGCTAAGCATGTTCTTGGAGTCAAGGGATTTAAAGGAAGCCAGGATAATACAAAGGAATGTTTGCTATGGTTGTACATATGTTTAGTGAAGTTGGTGCATACGTTCATCTGAATGTTATGTAAAATTTAAAAAATGTCACTGACATTTTAAGAGTAAGCAAAATGAAGTTGTGGTATAATTGGTGTGTTTCAGTAGTCTACTCAGACTGTTTGGAACTTTGGACCTTTTCAGAAAAGGGAAACCATTTTTTGTGCGGGGGGGGTGTATATAGTCATCTTTTCCTGCACTAGGTTGACAACAGAAATTATTGGATAGTTCACTCATTCCAGAGACTTCTCCCCCATGGGTAGGTCAATAGAAGGCTGTCACAAAGGCACAAACTAGGAAGAGAACGCTCAGTCAGAATAGAATGACTTGGAACTGCCTGAGGTAGCTGTCTACTCACATAATGTAGGTTCTTGGAAGTTATAATTAGTAGAGCTGTGCTAGATCAAATAAGAAAAATGCAATACATAGACCAATTACCTGCTTGTCTCTAGATTTTTCCCCATCCTATAATTCGGGACTTTATCCACTCTTACACCTAAAAATAAAATATGTGTAAAATGTTTTAATGTATCCTCCTAGCTAGTTTTGAGTATCTAATATAGTCCTGTTTAACATTGTGTGAATAATTTCAGTTTAAATTCAAGATGTTCTATCTTTAATTCAATGTAAACTTCTTTGTGTCCCCATTGGGAAGCAAGGGCGGGTATAAATGAAGCGAAGTAAATAAAGTTGATGAATGACATTTCACAAGTCTAGCTTTTAGTGGTTGTAACACGGAATTTGATATATGGAGTTTCCAGGCGTATATTTGATGTAAATTTTTCCATATAGCAGATTAAAGCAAGTATGAAAATGAGAAATCAACACCTAGGTGCTTTTGAGGAATCAAAAGAAACCTGAGCAAGTCTTCAGGGGTGCCTTACAGACCCACATGCTTCCTATCACTCTTCCATGCTGCCCTTTCACTGATTTAGTTTTGCTTTTCATGATTTCCATACTTCCCCCTCTCATTCTCTCTGCTCTGCCAAGCAAATAATTATTTCAAATAATGCCTCGGTACAAGAGAACTGAACAACATGGACCAAGGAAAAGAATAAGGCCTGATATGACAGGATACTACCGTGTTTTCCCGAAAATAAGACACTGTCTTATATTTATTTTTTCTCAAGAAGACACACTAGGGCTTATACCACAAATGCATAGAAATCCTGCTAGGGCTTATTTTTGGGGTAGGTCTTATTTTCGGGGAAACAAGGTACAATCTCTATAAAACTGGAAGCCACCCTGAGCTTGCTTTGCGAGGAGGGCGGGGTATAAATCTGATAAATAAATAAACAAACAAACAAACAGGAGAGCAGTCTAGCTGGCTTGGGAGCAAGTGAAAGATGGGCTCACTGGTGCCTACAGCCAGAACTCAACAAGACCAATTTGTTCATTTGGCTTCATAAGATGATGAACATGTATAATATTTTTATTACCCGGAAGTGACGTGACGATGCCAGGCATGCTGGGGGTGGGGCCACAGCCATCCGAGGGAAAACCATAGAGTTTTCCCTCGGATGACCGTGGCCCCCCCCCCCAGCGGGCCCGGCGTGGTCGTGACACTTCCGGGTGACGCGCACGTCGGGGTGGGGTTCCCCCCGGGGGTTTCCCCACCCCCCGGGAGGGACTTGGCAAGCTTATAGGGTGGTGAGCACAAGCACAAAATGGCTGCCAGGAGGCAGAGCCATACAGAAAATGTCTGAGACTGAGGTGATACATAACTCTGAGAGTAACACTTCAGCATTTCAAGCACAAGCTCTGTTTATCAGGGTGCCTTTTAAACTGAACGTATTGTTTAAAAATGTTTTCTTGCATACACCTAACTTTTGTTCAGTCATGCTATGAATATCCTTGGGCTTTGGTAGCAGTTGCTGCTGAAGCTACTTTAGAAAAATCTGCCAATCAGATCTCCAGCGGGCAATCAGAAGCCCTGCTGGGTAAAAGCCCCCCCCCAGTCCCACCCACTTTCTAAAAAACACTTGGCAGTTACCAGGAAAGGTTTCAGTGGGTACCAGGGAACCGACGGGCATCACATTGGGGACCTGTGGTCTGTAAGCAAATATCCATCTTTAGTTGTCTCACATAGTTCTCTAATACCTAGACGGCTTTCAAATGTCATTTGTAGCTGACATTAAGCTGGGGTATGCACAGCTCTGGCTTGTTGCCAGGCTTATGTGAGCACCTCCCTCTCTTCCCTCCC